GGTGGAGTTGGCCACGTTTATTTCGATCCTTGGGATGGTCAGGACACATTCCCTTACCTCCCGTTGATCTCCGTGGTGAGTCCCCTCTCCGTCCGAGGTCGGGAATTTGAAGGAGTAATGGAAGATGGAGACGGCGACTCTGAGCTTGTAAAGCGCCGTCCTGCCCAAAATGACATTGTATTCGCTCGGGCAGTCCACGATCTTAAAGGTTTCCAGAATCGTTTTTGTGGGCTGCCCCTTCTCCCCAAACCTGGTCGGCAGCACGACTTGGCCGATGGGGGTCGTCGTTTGTCTGTTAAAACCCTGGATTCACTAGTGACAGGGTTGTACGTCCTTCAGTTCTATCCCTATCTTCTTGAAGGTGTTGTAGTAGAGAATGCTCGCGTAGGCTCCAGTGTCAACCATGATGCGATGAATCTTTATTGCCATTATCGTCGCCGTGATCACCAAGGCGTCGGAATGGGGGTGGTTAAACAAAAAAGTGTCCTCGTCAGTGAAGGAGATTTTGTTCGGCGTTGGCTCAGGCGCCGCCCTGCTGCCCGCGTATCACCCTCTGCCCGGAATAGTAGGCTTGTCGGGGATAGGCCTTGGTCTGCCTCCTTGAAAGGAAGGATTCACCTCGGCTTGTATTGACGTGCCGAGGTGGACAGTCAGTCTGGTCGGCCCCTGAATGCGAGGACCAACCTCTTTTTCTGCCCCTGGAGGTACCGACCTCACTTTGGTGGGTTAGCAGAAGGTCTTGATCTTGTTGGGCCCGCTCTGCTGCGACTTCTTCCTCTGAGGGTTTATGTCGGCGTCTTCATCACTATCGAGGCCGTCCTCAAAACGACCTCCCTTCTTTGGAGTGGGTGAACTTCTTAAGTTGCGGGTCATCAAACAACTTGAGCAGCGCCGAGTTTAGATTATGGCATTTATCGGTATTGTGCCCGTGCGCCTTGTGGTAGGTGTAGTATCGGGACTTGTCTACCTTGTCTTTGTCGGTAAACATTTGTTTCGGGTCTGGCAACAACCCCTTGGCCTTGATCTCCTCGTAGACTGCAGCGGTGCCTACTGAAAAGACGCACTTGTAGTTTTCCTTTAGCTCCTCAGCTTTCTGTCTTCGCAGGGCTCTGACTTCAGTGAACGACTTTCCCGACTTCCTTGACGTCTCCTCTTTGGCCTTGCCCTTGCTCGGTGTTGCGTCAAACACCGAGATAGATGAGGGTTCCTCAGCCATGATGTAGTTTTGGGCTCGGGTGAGGAATTCTTGGTAAGTAATCGGTTTTTTTTTGGCAAAGGGACCACTTGAACAACGTCTTTGGCTTCAGGCCGGCTTGTGCCGAGATCAATAGCACCTCCGAGTGGCACTGCTCCATGTTTTTAACTCGGTAGTTGAACCAAGCGATGCTATCCTTTAGGCTCATGTCCTCGCCTTGGACGATGTTGGCAGATTCCTTGGGGGCAAGGTTGATCTGCGATCCGATGAAGTGTGATCAGAACGCCGACCTAAGCTGCCCTCAGGTGCAGATAGAGTGAGGGTACAGAGAGTGGTACCATCTCTGCGCCTTCGGTCTGAGTGTGAGGGAGAACATACGGCAGCGCAGGGCATCTGTTGCGCCGTGCAGGTCCATCCATGAGACGTAGAGGCTGATGTCGGAGTCAGGGTCCCGCTCCTATCATAAAGTCCGAGCTGCGGCACCTTGATTTTCTTGGGCACGGGTTCCTGTAAAATGTCAAGGGAGAGGGGTGAAGCATGGTCAACGACCCTGGGAGTTGGTCGTGGAAAGGGAGGAGGTGATGGTTGACTCTGAGAGGGGTGCCGACTCTCCAGCTCGACAATTCAGCGCTTGAGGGCCGCTACATCATCAGAGTCGCGCCTGATAGTTTTACCCCGCTCGATAACCTCTCTGAGGTCCCGGTTGGCTTGGTTTTTGTCTCCAAGGCGTTGGTAGACGGAGCGACGAATGATTTGAAGGCTTCGTTCCGGGAAGCTCCGCTCCGGATGGCTATCGCCTGTTTGCTTGGTAAGCGCATGTCTGGCACTTTTACCGCGACGGTTCTGGGCTTCATGATTGGGTTATTGAGTCGTGGTCTTGGATTTTGCCGGTCTCCGCTGTTGTTCTCCAGCCCCTTTGTCGGGGGTTTGGAGCATGGTGTTGTTGGGGTTCTCCGTGGCTGCAATGGTGTTGCCCCCGACTGCTTGGCTGGCATGCGCCTTGGTGAAGACACCCTCCATGGATATGAGGACGTCGGGGTGCTGCATTGCTGCAGCAAAGGTAGGGACCGATAGGATAGGAGCTTGAGTCCCTTGAGGGCGACGGGAGTTATCCGCGTCGTTACACCGGCGAGACTGGGCGCCGGACTGCTGGGTTGATTCTCCACGGCAGGATGAAGTTGTTTTCAATGATTTTTCAAAGTGAAGAGTGGGGAAAAAGGTAAGTTTAGTGTGGGGTTCCCCAAGATCGAATAATTGACACCAAGTAACTTATGATGCCCTTCCTCTAGCGCCAAACTGTTGATAAGCGATGTCGATCAACGGTTAAAATAATAAATGATGAAAATGCGAGACAGAAAATAAGAGGAAGATATGGATTAATTATGTATTTATTAAGCGATCGCGAGGTCGGCCTCTCGTACGAGGTCAGCACTTACGATATACTTACAATCCATACAAGAGTTTTCTTACGAGTTTTAGAGAGAGAAAGTAAAGAGAAAACATAGTTAATTGAGATTCAACAACCCAAAAATAAATGAATTGGGCCTCTATTTATAGTAGCCTTAAATTTGGTACTGTTCAGGTATTGTTCACAGGTCTTGTCGAAAATTCTTTTGCAGGGCAGGTCGGGCGTCCTCCTGACGATTATTAAATGCGATTTGAGATTTTTTCAATCATTACCTGTCAGGCATTAAATGCATGCATGGTGGGCATTCAGTGTCTGACAGGCTTTTGCTGGGCTAGGTGTAAGTAGGGTGGCAGGCTATGACGGCCCGTCCCCATCGCCGAATGATGACCCTCCAAGTGGGAATATACTAATATTACCGAGCCCGCGCTTGTCCCAGAGTGGCCGCTCTGGTCTTCTAGGTCGGCACCCGGACCAATTGTGATCCTTAGACCCTCGGGATCCCTTTTCCATTCCGGCAACCCGTGAGGTCGACACCCCAACTTTCCGATATTAGGTACCGATCTCGTAAGCTGCTCTCTCAGTTGTCATGATCACTTAATTTCGCAATCTAGCTCGACACTTCCGCGCTGGACCAGATTCTCAATCCGGTCCTGGGGGTTCGATTCTGTCTGGTTCCCTCGTGGCCAACTCGGATATCAACAATATATTTATATATTTTAATTCATTTTATTTTAATGCCCTTTGTTTTTTTTTTGTTTTTATTTAATTTTAATTCATTTTTTATATATATATTTAATCATTTTTTTTGGTCTTGCAGTGTTCTTTTATTTTTGTGCATTTAAATTTTATTATTATAATTTCGAAATATTAAATTTTTAGTTTTTTTTTAAATACTAGTACAACACCCGTGTATTACACGGGTGCTTGTTGAAAAATTATTCTTAAATTTTAAAATTAATGAGAAAACTATATTAAATTTAGTTTACTTTTTTTAAAAAAAAATATATTACTATATATTTTAGAATGATATGTGTTACTCATGACTTACATGTGTTATATTATATTAGTTTTTATAACTTATATCATATAACTACTTGAAATTATATTAGTTAATAAATAATTTTATTTTTTAAATTAATATTAACAATAATTTAATTATTGTTATAAAGATAAATATAAATTATTTTTTTTTTATACATACAATATGGATGTTAAATCGAAGCTCATCAAAAG